CACTTCTCTGTCGATCATCTCTGCGGGTATGCACAGCATTTCCCTTTAATCCCTTGTGGAGGAGATCTGCTGAGCTTAAATTATGCTCAGAAATCCATGCTCTGCGTAATAGGCTGGGGTGCTTGCTTTTACCAACAGCAGTATTGCAAAGACAACAAGTAAACAGGGGTTTATCCTCATAGCAAGGCTTGCAGACTGCAGAAAGGGCAGGCATTTTCCTTCTCTCTTACTCAGACTTTCCAGACTGAAATCTTTGGGTTGCACATTAAAAGTGGCAAATGTTGTCAGAATTAACTTTTAAATTCTGTGCTTTAGGCGAGCGAAAAATTTTACTTTCGAAAAAGCACCAGTTTTTGTGTCAGCTGTTACTATGGCAAACTATGTGACTGTCCTGAAGTTGAAATGAAAGGGGGGAAAAATTCTTTTAATTCAACTGCTACTCTCATAATAATCATAGTAATGGTTAAACCTGCAAATGGGTATCTTCCCAAGTGCAAAGAGACCATTCGTTTCTGCTTTTTTATCTCAATAAACTAGGGCTCCTTCTTGCCTGCCATTGTATTCCAACCAGCACAGCTCCCGGCCAAGGAAAAGAGCTCGCTGGTTTGCCAAGACAACATTCTTTTTCATGACTAGCTCTTTCCTCTGTAGTTATTAATGTGTCACATATCATAGGCTCAGATTGTCTAATATTATGGGAAAATCTACTAGAAGGAGAGAAAAGTAAAGGAAACTTCCAGGGAAATTGATTAAAGGGAAATAAGATATTTGACCCAATTTAGTGGAACAAAATACGGTCAATAATAGAAACTATTTTAAATTCTTCAGATGGACACACAGTTCTTTAATGTTTTGTTAGTTTTGTTTGTTTTGTTTTTTACCACCTCGGAATATCTATTATAAAAACAAGATTTTAGACTCCTCCTCTCGTGCCAAGTGCAATCATTTGCATTGCACAGCTTAGTATCAGTGAACAGGGATTATATGAAACAAGAACTGTGAGACACTTTAAGAAGGTTTAACCAGGATCCATTAGAATAAAAACTGTGACACAGTGTGGATGATACTCCTAAGCCTTACACTCACATCTCACAGACGCTTGCATAAAGCAGTTTTTGGTTGCTGACAAAAGCATGGAGTAAAACAAGCTGCCTCGCAGGTGCTTATGTGGCTACTCTGAACTCCCTTCAATACTGCTCCTTCTCTGCTCCACGGATGCTTCAGCTGAGGAGTAGAAACACAACTCCGGAGATCAATCACTCACCAAGAAATGAGTTTCAACTCATTGGGAAAGATAAATCAAAGCAAATGAATAGAACTAATGTTACAGAAATGGTCTTAAAGGTTTGAAAATAATCATCAGGTCTGCAAATATCAAAGCCCTCCACGGGCGATTTGCCAAGTGGCTTCTTGTTATTAGGGCTGTATTTGAAGGGACAAGTTAACTCAGTAACCCTTCACCTGCGATAGCAGCTCTGTGATAGCCCTGCCTGGCCCAGCAAGAGCTCACCTACACGAGCTGGTTTATGCCTGTGCCTAAAGCACAGACCCGCACGAGCAGGGATGGACATTCGGGCACGCACAACTGCAGTACGACTAACAGCACGGAGGTGTGCCGAGGTGCGCAGGCAGGGAGCCGGGCCAAGCAGCGCGCTGCTGCATGGACCCATCGGCTGTGGGACACCTCACGTAGCGCCTGTGGGGCTTGCTGCCCTTTCACCGACTCAGCGTGGAGCAACACCCAGAAGGGATTTTTCTCACCTTTCCAGCACCACACCTACAAGACAGTGGCTTTTTATCCCTAACTAAGTGATGGCCTGTTGCTACAATTATCAGAGGGCTTTCAAATGCCTTTGCCTTCTCAGTGGTTTCAGAACGAATCCACAGGCAACAGGAGAAAAAAGCTGCAAGCTGCTGAATGTGCAGGCTTGTCTGGATATGAGGTCCATTTTAAGGCATAACTGATCATTTAACAACATATCACCTCCTTGGTCCTCCCACACAGCTGCCTGGGGAGGAACTTGCTCCGGATGATGCTTTGAACCTGTGAAATCCCCTCCTAAAACCTGTCAAGTGCTGAATGTGACACAGACAAGGTGGAACCAAATCGCCCTGTAAAAAGCAGATACTTCACAGTTCTTGCTTCATTGCAGCTAATGATCTGCTGACACCGGTGGGAGTGTTTAGCCGGGATCAGCTTCTGCTGAGGAGAGCACTCAGATATTCTGTTGGTAGCAACAGTGCTCTCGGGGGAACCCCACTGGTAGGGAAATGGCCAGTTATCTTAAAGCTGCTACTTACTAAGGCTTTCCCAGCAGGATATTATTCACAGCTACCAGACAAGAGAGATGTTACAGGAGAGTCCCTGAGGACAAGGGTTCCCAGGTGGCCATGTCAAAAAAACCGAAAAGCAAACAAAGGAAAAAAAAAAAAAAAAGAGAATCCCAGCAGCACACGAGGGTGGGAGGTGGGACACAAGGAGAAAATGTCACAGAACCCCAGCGTGCCCCTTCTCAGCAGGTCAGCTGAGCTTACCTGAGACTGTGAGCTCTGCAACATGTGCAGCTTGTCTGCAAGAAACTGAGATTATCATCTCTGGTGTGATTTAGCCTGCATTACTAATGCTGGCTGAACCAACTAATGTTTTTAACCATCTTCCCAGAACCGGGCTGAGATCAGGAAGTGCTACTGAAACGCAAAAATGTTGCTAAATATGCCACATACATTCTAAATGGAAGAGGCTTATTACTCCAGATTACTTTATACTCTATTTCCATGAGTTCAGAAAAGCACAGTCCTTAACATATCTCTCCAAATTGCCAGTATATCCAGTATTCCAAAAATAAAACTTACTTTTTTTTTTTCTTCTGGGGGAACAAATACTTTTTTTCTTGTAGGACCTTTGCTGTCTGCTACGCAGCCAACATTTTCATATTTTAATTATATAAAACATAAAAATAAGCCACTTATACTGGTATCTCCACTCTTGGCTTTTTTATGCCCCTAAGACACATCGAAGCAAACACATCTCAGTATAAATGCCTAGATATCTTAAGCCATTGCAAATAGCAGTTATTGCACAGGCAAATTAGGTGTGCGCGTACAATTCAGAAAAATGTGATCTTATTCTGTAAACCGTGAGCGGATTTCTGCTTGAACGCTCTTTGATGATGGGCACAAATACAATGTGCAATTGTGGAAGGGTCTTTGAAATGCCTGGCTAACTCATATTTGCTTTTTCTGTAGGAGAATTTGAATAAGTGGGGTGTGATCTGCGGGGCTCCCTGCACGACCCGGGGACCATCCACCCTCTGCTCTGGGCTCGTGCTGTTTTTCTGTACAGTGGATGTGCGAGTTACACCTGGAGTTTCCCCACCCCAGTAGCTCCCCATTGCAGGCAGGAATAGGCTGCTTCCACTCAGAAAAAAAGTTGAAGGAGAAGCCAGGTGATCCTTTGCGGCAATTCTCTTCCTATCCACAGAAGCTGCAGTTTGCTGAACGTTTCCTTTAGCAAATGGGCCTTTGTTTCAGCAGGGACACGTTTGGGGCGGAGGCCGCTATTGTTTCAGCCATCTGGTCCCATAAAGGATCGTAACCGTTTCCTATGGAGAAAGGTGGTGGCTACTCCCACTATTCTCCCTCCCCATCACGGTGCCCGGAGACTTCACTCAGCTGCTAAAATGCTCTGATAGTTGGTATCTTCCCATAAACATTGCCAAGAGATCATACGTCCCCATCATCCTCTCCTTAGCCTTGCCTTGTTTATTCATTTCTACCGTTTTTTAAAAAGCTGCCATCAATAATTCACTAGTCACAATTTCTCTTGATTCCCCATCCAAAATTGGCTCCTCTCTTATTCTAAGCAGTTATTATTTAAGTAAAGCCTGCATCGCAATAAATAAAACTCACACATGAGAAACTCTTCAATGACTTTCTTCACATGACTTATGGCAAGATAGGTTCTGCTAAAGGAGTGAGTCATTCAGCAAAGGGGGAGGAAAACTGTTCATTATGTATTTGTGAAATCCCCAAACCGCTGAAAAGGCACCATTTACCAACAAAAAGCATCACAGGATGCACAGGAACCAACAAAGTGGGTGGAGCCCTTCCAGAAATGACTGCGACACGAGGGGCACCTCTTCGGAGGCCTCTCTTTCTCAGGATCCAGTATGTTAAAATGAGTGGGAGGTGCAGGTTTCTCAGCTTACTCGCTTGTAGGATTTGCCCCCCAGAAATCAAAACTGCAAGTTTTCTTCTGTCCCTCAGGGGAATACCAGAACAACCCGGGCTTTCCCTGCTTCAGCTGCAGCCTCCTGAGCTGCACACCCCTTAGCATTGACACCTAGAAAAAACAATAACCAGGATGCACCCAAGCCTCACAATCAAACCTGTTTCTCCATTTCAGTTGTGTTCCTGCCACAGCTCAGATCAGAGGACTGCAGTCACTCCTGCAGCAGACAGACTGGCCACAGTGCTAGGATTTGGCCCAGGTTTGAATTCAAAACCTCCAACCACCTGCCAGCTTGTGGATAACAAGTTCTGGTTGTGTCTCCACTCAAAATAAAACCATGCCCAGGAAGGCAGGCAGCTTGCACGCTCATGCACAAACAGGGAGAATGTATATATGCCCCTATACGCACACCCACACTGGCTCCCTGCTCCCAGAAAAGACCTGCTAGCCAGAAAGATCCAGCAGCAACACACTAATAAATAAAATTTGCAAAAGCCCCAAAGTCCCTCGCTGTCCTCACAAGCTCTAAGCACCCTGAAGAGCCACCTGCTGCCAAAGCTTGTTGCAGGAAAGGGAGTGCATATAGGTAAGAGCTGCAGGTCACTCAAACGGTGGCAGAGACCCAGCCAGCGCAGGAAGAGCAGAGCACCTTGCGTTCGCCTATCTGAGCACGTCAGGTTTTTTCCCCTCAGTGCTAGCCTGGAGCAGAGGGACAGGACGATCATTGTTGCAAGAGACGGAGAAGGAGCAAATCTCAGGGGATACTTACAGCATTCGATGGGGTTTGATGCTGCCTGCAGAGAAATGATCCTGCCGTTGGACTCGGGGATGTGCACGCGGAAGACGAGCCGGACACGGGTGTTCTTCCTGCCGATGTCCGTCTCTCCCTTGCGCAGCTCGATGTCTGCATTCCTCAGCTTCAAAATCCCCGCGCAGTCAATGCTGCCAAAGACACGCACCATTTAGCTTAACATTTCTGCTCTTAAACAGCTTGGAAATAGGTGACAGGCAGGAAGGTTAAGCTGTTTTGCTTCAATCTCCAAGTTAAGAGCAGCTCCAAATACTTGTTCTGCTTAGGATCTAGATATTGCCATTTCAGCAGTGACAGGGGAAGAAATCCCAGACACGCAGCGAGTGAGGGACGCTGCTGGACCCCTCCCCGGTGAGCGTGGGCCCGGTGGCTCAGCGTGTCCCAGGCACGTCCCAGCCGAGGGCTAGGGGTGGCCTTTACTCTGGGGACAGCCGAAGCCGCTCTCCAAACATTATAACCCTGAGTCTTATTTCCCTCCGGTGCTGAGAACAAGAGTGCACAAGGCAGCGCCCGCCCCGGCCCCCCGGGCAGGGAGAGTGAGCCAGAACAAGAAGTGCACATGGGGGCAGGCGATAAGCTGAGCCTGTGCCGGAGCCCTCCGCGAGCTGGAGAGCATGAAAGCCTCCGCCGCCAGCTCTCCAAGCTCGGTGCCCAGAGACTGCACAGCAGCTATTGCCTGCACGTGGGCAAATTAGTTCAGCTCCACAGGGAGTCACAGCAGTTGAACCAGCTAATTGCATGCACCATGCAGGCACGTTTTCCCCACAGTTTGTACAGGTAAGCATTGAATTCAACTCCAAAGCAGGAACCAAACTGCTCTCCCCTCCTTTTTGACAACGTAGGTGCTTCTGCTAGAACTGGGCTCTCCAGCCCTGGCCCAGGTCACCATGTCATCCTCCAAAGCCCTGGGATATTGTTCCCAGCCAAGGCAATAGCCTGGCAGTGCAGAAAATGGTTCTCTGCTCCCATTCACCATATCCCTGCAGAAAGGGAGGATGCAGGGAGCAGGATGGGGCTAAGCAGCAATGAAAGGATTAGGATTGCTTAAGCCAGCATTGCAACTCAATATTGGTGTAAGTGCAGGTTAACTTCTTAAGAGACCAGTGTAACCTAGCAAACATGCCTGTCTACATTAAGAGAATATGCCAATTAGTATTTACAGAATCTGAGATCTTCAGCTCCGCAGTAGTCCTCAGACAGTGCACTGTTACTAGACAGGCACTGCCAACCCATTTTTATATTAAAGACATACCATTTTTCTTCTTTTGATATGAATTAAAATCACATTTTGGGAGGCATAAACACCAAGCTCTTTCCTGCACCCACATTGTTCCTTGCCATTGCATGTGTGCAGGGCTTTATTACTCCAGGGTTACTTGTTAGGAACAGATAGTCATGTTCCATTCTGCACTTGGCTGCTTAAGTTTGAGATGTGGACTTTTATTTATCTCCTCGGGTGCAGAGGGAAGGAGAGGCTTGAAGGAAAGAGAGGAATGAGGTATATTTTCTGAAAAAAGATATATAAAGAAAGAATGTGGATTTTGTGATGAAATAGGGGGGCTTAAAAACGTAGCTGCTCTGCAATTTTGTCAGTATCCTCTGAAGGATGGAGATACAGCTCTTCCCTCTGCAGAGCAATCACTCTCATGCTGCCTGGCACACATTCAAGCCTGAAGTTTCAGACTGGTGCCCACTTCATCCCTCTGCCTCCATAAAACTGGAAGGAATAATACAGAAAAGATGTGTCTGTACTTGCTTTTCTGTTAACCTATTACAACAAGAGAGTGCAATTTCATGGCCAGAGCACTTGGCTGAGTTCAGGAGAGATGTTTTCTATTCTATTAAATGTTGTAAAATGAACCGTACACCTTTCCTCCACTGTACACCGCTCCTTGTTTCCCATTGCATCACTGCAGCATAAGGACTTGAGATTCAAATCTCGTTTTCCTTAGTGCCCTGCAAAAACCATTCTGACTTTGAAGATGACAGATGATTACAATATAGTCACCGCAGCAGTTGGGGTAAAGAGCAAAAATGCCTGCTCGGTCAGCTGATGAATGGTAACTCTTTAAGCAGCTTTAGCCCAGGTGCTTGTAACTGCTGCTCATGCTTTTGTAAAAAGGGTCTTACACTCATATATCATCCCGATGCTTTGGAAAGGGGAGTCCCTCCAGAGCAGACATCATTATTCATTTAAGTGACTCCTTTCCACAGGAGAAAGAACTTCACATGCCAATTTAATCCTCCTCAACTTTGCTAATAAAAAGAAATATGCTTACGTTGCTTTCATGTTGTTTTTGGGTTCCAATGGGATCTCTAAAACTTTGGTGTTGCCAATGATTTTTTCATAGCTGGTGGTGGTGACAGTTTTTCCCGTAATGCGATGGACTTGATAGAAAGCATGAGGTTTAAGTATCCGTTCGTCTGCTGTCCCAATGAAGATCTGAAGACCCAAGGGTTTGTTCTCCATGTAACCGTGAAGCTGGCAAGACATTAAAAATCTATTATCACACACAAGGTTTGCAATGCCTTCATGTCAGGAAACCAAATAGATCTACAGA